CGGGGAGGGGTCACCGCACAGGGCCTAAGCTTGTAGAACAGAGTCCCATAAGCTGCACCGAGAGCTGTGACGCTGACTGGGGCTGGCAAACAGCAGATACTTCCCATTGTGTAATGAAGGTGAGGCTTCCAACAGCACAAACCTAAATGTTTTCCCTGACTCTGTCTCCTCTGAGTCCCAAGTTCCTGTTCTGCCACAGTGTCCCACTTGATGCCTAGAGGGGTCTGTGGCTGATGCTTATCTACCAGTTGGTTAGCTGTGGATAGGGCAGATATTGTATCTTCTTCCTTCAAACCTCCAAACTTGGTTTCCTTTTAGACTGATTATACCCAAGGTACAGCTTATGGAAAACTAGTTCTTTATTTAGGGGGCTGTGGAAGTAGGTGAGAAGCTGCCACTGGCCATAGAAAGGCAGACTCACTTCTAGTTTGAGGCAGTTTCTTGAACTATAGGCTTTGTAGTCAGACAATGCTACTGTTCAGCTGTTTCTAGCATCCTCCTCAGGCTCATCACCAATTTTCATTTTCCCTTTGTAAAAAAGGATCAGCAACAATCCTGCTGACTCTGTAAGCTTCTGAAGATGATGCCTGTGAAATACTTTGCACCCTTCCAGGGACTCAAGTCAACATTAGTAGCCACATTTATTATTGTACTTATTTAGATTGCTGAGCAGCCTCCTTCATACCAGGGAGCAGTGAATTGGAAGGAATTAGAGGTCACCGAGTAACCATTATATGCATGTAAAGTTCGGAGCAGGTTTTAGCTGTGACATGGATAGAAATCTTAAGCTTAAAAGGGAAAAAAAGCACAATAAAGATTTGGCCATCAATTCTACAAATGAAGACAAATACTTTACAAGCAGGTTTTCAAAAGAGCTTTAAAATTAAACAATCAGAACACACTCAGACTCCATAGTTTATTTAGTGATTATGTATTTAGAAAAATGTCTAAGTATCAGAAAATGAACCTGAGAAAAGAAGCCAGACAGCACCCTCTCACTCTGTGAGTGAGAGACTCGTGTGAATGTCAAGGGCAACAGCTCTTAGCCTTTTGGGGTTGCTTGGGAAAGGGCCTCAGGAAAGGTGTAGCACACACTTTTGAGGCCCTGCAGTATTAATTACACTATGGACTTATCCCACACCAAAATGTATATGGAATAGGATAAAACCTTAATCAATAGCGCAACGATTCCTATCCCAAATCCAAGTATCTCTGGATACATTCATGTGACCAGCAACACTGGGAATGCATCTACCTTTCTGGGATGCAACTCTTATTTTGAGAGTTGGCCTAATGGTCCAAAGTGCTTAGGAACCCGCCTTTTGCCTTTCTCAATCCCCAACCACCTTGACAACTGCTCTTGGTTAGATGCCATCCCACACCTAAGGCAGGGATGTGATGACTGGAAAAGGATGATAACTCACTAGATTCCATCAACTCTAGTCTTCACCTTGTGAGGACAAGTGAGAAGTATGGACAGAGGGCAAGCAGACTCTGAAGATCCCAGACAGGTTAAAACTAGGCTGCTCATCTGCATCAATTGCCCAGCCTTGAGGAAATCCAAAGTGGAGTGCTATGCCAGAGACACTCAAAACTGGTTCCCCGCACATGCCACAATAGTATCAAATTGGGCTCAGCACGTGGAGGATACTGTCGAGCATGCCTGTGGAGTGTCACTGTTGCAGGCAATTCTTTGGAAGAATGCCTTAACAGATGGGCACAAAGGTGATCATCCAAATCTAATAAAATCTGGAACTGGACAAAGTTAATGAAGAAAAAGGAGGAGGAGGAGGAGGAGGAGGAGGAAGAAGGGACATATACACATACCTATATACATATATGCATATTTTATACATATATGTAAAAGAGAGAGAACAGAAACTGCTTTGGTGTATATTGTGAGGGAAGAAATGTATGCTATAGAGTCAGGCAGGCGTAACAAATAGCTTAGTAACCTTGGATTCCACTTGTTTGGGCTATGCACACTCCCCCCTTCTAATAATGCACTCAGCAGCCTGAGACCCTTACCTGCATGTACTGTGCACATACATCCAATGCACCTAGAAACCTGTTGGCAATGTAGGATACCCACCTGCACTGATCTGTACACATACCTCACTCTGAACAATGGAATAACTTTCTCTTTATTTTAATTACCACTAAACTTAGATTCTAGTCAATTGTATGCCAGATATGGCCAAGTAGGAGGGGAGGGGAGAAGGCTTGAACTGGTTTGGGGTACATGCACAGTAAGGCAAACTGTGTCCTCTAAATGGGCTTTCAGAGAGACTCAGTTATTCACCATTTTAAGTCTATGTGTAATTGGGCTTGCATATGATTAAAATCAGATGCGTCATAGAAAGGAACATGCGTAGTGAGCAGAAGCTTACATAATTCAAGCTTTCAAGAAAAACAGAGAACCACCCAAATTACATCACTTAGAAGCCAGCCCTTCCTTCCTTCAGACCATATAAAGAAGTCCCAGGCCGTAATCTGGGACCCTGGACTACCTTCACTCATGTGGCCCACTGTCACTCTTGACTCTTTTCTACTATTGCTTTGCTTTGAATAAAGTTTCCTGACTACTTTGCAGTCTGTATATCTTTATTTAATTTCTTTTAATAAAAGTCCAAGAACCTGGAAACACCCATCTCAGAGTAGTAGATTATCTTCAATGTCAGAGCCAACTGGATCCATCTCACAGGTCAGAGCAATTGAATCTTTATATGACTACATGCAGAATGCCCCCCCACCTCTGGTCCACTAGGGTGAAATCTCTGCTGCACATAACACAGTCTTCCCTCTGTCTAGAAAACTCTCTCCATTCAGACTAGGTTCCCTTCCAGCCACCCTTCAAGATGCCCACACAGTTATAAAAGCTGCCTCCTGCCATGGCATGTTCCCCTATCAGAAGACACTTTGCTCTTTCCAACAGCCAACTCTTTCACAGTGGTTCCATCCTATCCCCAGGGTATGAAAGCCCTCAATGATTGCTTATACAATGAGAACCTGGTGTGCATAGAGGCACACTTGACCTTGGTTCTGTGTCCCTGGTCATTGTGACTATACTCCAACTTGCCCAGGAATCACTGTTGTCTCGTTTACTGTCATATAGTTATTCAAAGTGAGGATTTAATGGCAAACCTCAAAACCATTCTGAATTTTGCAGCGCCATATGCTAAGATTTGGAGAGTTGATTCTGTCAAATATCTTACCTCTGGCTTCAATTCATTGGGGATATTTTAATTTTTTATTCTCTCTTCTCAAGTACAATAGCTGTCTTTAAATCTCTGTAGAGTTGATTCCTTTGTGTGTGGGAGGGTATCTGCGTGAGGTGCATGTGTGTGTGCTCACACCAATGTATACATGTGGAAGCCAGAGGGCATTTGATGTCCTTCTCTATCATTTTTCTACCTTACTCCCTTAAGATAAGGTGTCTCATTGAACCTGGAGCTTGCTGGGTTTGGAGCAGGCTGGAGTTCAGCAAGCCCCAGCATTCATCCTGTCTCCACACCCCCAGCACTGGGGTTACAGGCACATGTAGCCATGGCCAGCTTTCTGTGTAGGTGCTAGATGGTAGAAATCTACCTTTTTTGTTTGTTTTTAGGCAGGTTATCCCTATAGCCCCAGTTGGCCTAGAACTTGCTATTGGACTAGGTTGGTCTCGGTCTCACAGAGATCTACCTGCCTCTGCCTCCTGAGTGTTGGGATTAAAGGTGCACACCACCAAGCCCACCTGGACTGGGAATCTGAACTCAAGTTCTCTCACCTTACCCACTGTACCATCTCTCCAGGCCAAGTCTGATATCTAATTCAGTTCTCCCCTCTATCCCCTGCTTACACATTGGCATTTTCATTCTCCTACAAAAGAGAAATTATTGCTAGGGAATGGTTTTTCAGGCACTCAAAATGCTCACTGTCTTGAGTTGGAAAACTAAGGTTTCTTCCCAGCAGCTACAAGAACATTGTAAATGTCTGATTTTCTTTGTTGGCTTCTCTTGGCTCCATCCTGCCCACCTAGTACATAGCACTGTCTTCCCCAGTGGCAAAAAGCATTATAACTTCACAGCTGGCAGGCTGCCGCATGGCTGTGACCCGAAACTCACTTGGTTCTGGGGTACTCATCATCCCAGCATACCTGCAAGAGGGTTGTGCACCTTTTTCCCCTCAGGGTGACCCCTGACTGGTAGCTCAGGGTCAAGCCAATCCAGCATGAACCACCTTGCTATAGCCACCAAAATCAAAGCCTGCTTCCAATGAATGGACCATCTCTTGGTTTCCAGCATACTGGAAGAAGTGTAGTCCTGTGGTCATTTTGGCCACACAAAAGTTAAATGTCCTGAAAGTCATTCTGGACTTCAGGTCTCTAAGTACCTGTGCAATTGAGTTTTTTTCCCCTACCTATTGTCTATCCAATGAACAGCCAACATGCCCTGGTCTGGGCTTCCAAGGCCTTTGTTTTCTTCTTTGCTATGGTTGATTGAAACCATATGATTGATGAAACATGGAGAGCACAACTACTTCTAGAACCTGAACTTTCTGAATGCATCTCTATTGGGTCTCTTAGGGAATAAAGCTCAGAACTTAAAGCCAGGGCTGGCATGTCTGCACTGTAAACATCCCCTGAAGGGCGTGTCCCACACTGAGCTCATCCAGCAGGATTAAGAGAGAAGATGGAAAGAGCAGCCTCCGGTTAGGCGTGTTGGGTGGGGGCAAGTGAGCGCCCACCCCTGCCCTCTCCATGAGCTCTGCAAGATGCCCTTCTGAACTGCTTCGAGCTGCAGCTGCGAAATGTCACTGCAAAGGGCAGAAAAAAGCCAGTCCAGGAAGCGCTTGCAGGCTCCAGGTGCTGGTAGAAATAACACCTAGAAGCAGGATGAAAACAGGAGGGTCCTGGCGGGTTGGGCAGGGATGATGGCCAGGGAGAGAACAGCAGCGGGATGGAGGATCTGCAGGGACAGCGCGGCAGGGCGGGGGTCGGGGGCGGCGAGGCCACCCACCTCTTGATGTAACTGCTGAGGCGATAGAGCTGGCCGTCGAGGCGCACGAGGCCATCACAAAAGATGTTAAAGCCGCCACGCGCGGCCGCGGGTCCCCCCGGCCCGGGAACCACGAGCAGCTCCCCGCGCAGCTGGAAGGCGCTGGGCTGCAGGCGAAGCAGCTGCGCCAGCGGCAGCAAGGCCAGCTCGCAGTCGCAGGTCCACAGGCTGCGCAGCTCCCCCGACGAGATGGAGGTCAGGCTGGGCCTCGCCACAGGCTCGCACGCCGCGGTCGCCATACCAGGTCGTGGGTCTTTCTCAGCTCGCTGGAGTCCTGGCGGAGCCAGTCTCCCCCCAAACTTCAGAGTCCCGGAGAGCAGCTGCGTCCGCCCAGCGCCGGGATGTATCTGCCTGCCTGCCCAGAGTCTGCGCACCGGATGCCCGGGAGCCCTCCTGTCGCCCCGACGGCTAGCCACCCCCAGGGGCACTGCAGGCAGAGCGCGGAGAAAGCGGTCCTGGTGCTGCACATCCCCTTTTATCCGCGCCCCTCCTGGCACCGGCGCGACCCCAGATGCTCTGGCCGAGCAATCAGTGTTTCATAACTTGGCGCACTCCCACTTCGCCGCGCCTCGGCAAAGGCTGATTTAGTCATCCCGCTCGGGTCAGCCACTCAGGCCGGCGCTGGGGCCCGCCCTGCCTGACCCACATTGCCCCGGGTAGCGTCCTCCTCACGAGGCCCAGGCCTGGCAGGTGGTGGTCTAGAACTCGTTCAGGCCCCACCCATGCTTCAGATACCACTTGGCTCCTGTCTCTCCACTTGGGACCCAGAGACTGTCAGAGCTGGAGCCGGAGTTCCATCTGCATCCGCATCTGCATCTGCATCCCATGCCCAGCCTAGATCTTCAGCTTCCTCCACCCCAGCCTAGATGAACCTAGGTTTTCTCTTATCAGCCTTTCCTGGCGCTGGTTCCTACCCCTGCCTCCCTTTCCATGAGCAGCACGCTACTTTCCAGTAGGACCTTCCGGCATGCTCTGCATACTTTGTTCCTTGCTTCCTTTGTTTCTACTGCTTGGTGGACCCTTGAATTAGGGCTGGAAAGGTCCTACCAGGCCTCCCCACTTCCCCGCCTCCCCAGTGGGCTGAGCGCCTGAGTCCCAGAATCTGTTCATTTGTTCAGTCCATAAAAATTTGCTTGCTCTAGCTATGTGCTCATGAGTCTCCTGGGGAATGAAAGAACTATCCCGTTCAATCTAATTAAATGACTATTTCCAGAACATCTAATAGGAGATAGAGAATAAGCCAAATTCTGAGAAGACTAGGGCGAATAAATACAATCCCTTGCCCATCACCCAACTTGCAGTCTAACAGAGGAGCAAGCACGTTTTCCAACAATTACATTCACTGAGTGAAAGTCTCTGCTTCAGGTGAACCTACATGGAAGGGAAGACCAGCCCAGTGCCAAGGCCTCCTGAAGTACTGTGACTTAGAACTCCAAGCTAGAATCTAAAAGTGAAATAGAATTCAGAGATTTTTAATTTGTCTAAGTGGCCTCCATAGTGTGTAGGTTTAATAAAATCAAATGGAAAAAAAAAACTGTTGTATTTCATTTAAATCGCCAAATACAAAGCAGTACACATAACTTTCTCTATGGTTAATCTCAGTCTCGGGGTTCTCTAAGCATGTCACTCTCGAAGCATGTGATCACTGCCAAACATGGTCTATTGACTACTACTGAATCAATCTTTCATAAAGGAAAGAGAATCTGCCTGTAAAATGAATACCACTTTTCACAGTAAAGCATCTCTGCTCAGAACATGAGCTTGGAGTGAGCTGAGATACAGACTGGACCTAGAAGCTTAGCTGTTTTCCCATGGGAGGGGTATGGAGCCAGGTGTTAGATCCATCCAAAGTAAAAGATCATTCTCACCTCAAACATGTCAGTCACTGCATGTCAGGCACTGTCATCAACTCTGAGGCCAGGCAGGCACACAGGCACAGACACGCAGATAATAAAAATCAAAAGGACTACTTTAATTTTGGCTGCTTTGGCACTGCTACATCAACAACTTAAGAAAGACAGGGTTTACTTCAACTCACAGTTTCAGAGATTTCAGTCCCAAAGCTCCTTTGATTCTGGGCCCACAGTAAGGCCAAATCTCAAAGTGGAGGAGGTTGCTCACCTTACAGCATACAGGAAGCAGAGAGGCAGGGAGGCGTTGAAGATCAGGGATAACTTTCCAAGGATCTAACTAACCTCCTAGGATTTACTTCCTCCAACTAGACTCAGCTCCCAAAATTTCCACAGCTGCCCAAAACAGCACTGCCAACTGGGGACCAAACATTCAACATATGACGTATATTCAGACCCTACAAGGGCTTCATAGAGTTAAGGTCTACAATGAATGTAGAAGTAAGTCCTGTGAGACCAGGGTCAAGGGAATGGCCCTCTGCCGTGGAGGCTCCAGAAAGGTCACTCAGAGCAAATGATATCAGAGATTGGTCTGAATAGAGAAAGAGCTCCCAGGTGAGGAAGCAAGACCATAAGAAAGTCAGGAGAGGAGATTCTGGACCTGTCTATGCAAAAGGAAAAGATATGGACCATTTGAAGAAGCACAGGAAATTCTAAGTAGCTGATGTACATAATGGCTCCATCCTCAACAGGAGAAGGGATGCTAGGATCAGGAATGAAGGAATACAGGGACCACGGATGGATTTAATAAGTTGAGACCAGAAAGAGAAGTCAGGACCAGATTATGACAGGCCTTGGAGCTCTCTAGGGGTGTGAGTGTGTGTGTGTGTGTGTGTGTGTGTGTGTATGTGTGTGTGTGTTTTGTATGTGTGTTCATGTGGTTGATGTGTGGGTGATTGCATGTGTAAATGTGTGGAGGTTAGAGGTTAACCATGAGTATCATTCATCGAATGCTGCTACCTTGGGTTTTTTTGTTGTTTTTGTTTTTTTTTTTTTTTTTCTGAGACAGGTTTTCTCACTGGCCTGAGGTTCACCTGTTAGAAAGCTGGCTGAGCAGTGAGTTCCAGGCATCCACTTCTTTCTGCCTTGCCAGTGCTGGGATTCCAGCCGCATACCAGCACGCTTAGCTTTATTTTTACAAAGCTGTTTTGTGCGGATTGAACTCAGGCCTTCATTCCCGTCCAGAAAACATTGCCAACCGAGATACCTCCCTCTCCCAGCCCTGGAGTTGTTGAGGTTCTTAAGGCAATGAGGAGAGTTCCAATATTTTTACAGAAGAAAAATAATATAATTATTTCCAAACTTAGACAAATACCTTTAGTTATGACCATTTAGATGTTTGAAAAAGGAAATAATAAAGGAAGCAAGACTAGGTAGAGATCAATATAAATATTCAGGTAAGATGTGGTGAGGATCTGAACTAACAGAGTCTTTGGGAATCAAAATGACAAATCTTGGACACTGAGCCAGAGTCAACAAAGTTGCATAACCAAAACAATAGAAGGAAGAAATTTATTTAATCCCTTCCTCTTTGGTACATAGACAGTGTCTACATTAATGAAGCTTGAGGTTGTGGGAAATTATTTATTATATACTTATGGAGTATCCAGGTGGAAAAGTCCATGGGGGAGCTAGGTAGTTAGCTGAATCTGGAACTTTTGGACAGAGGACAGGGTTTGTGGTTGAAGGTTGAATGTTGATAGCTCAAAGATGGGGGTGAAAACCAGAGAAGTATGTGAGTGTCTTAGTCAGCTAACTGTCCATGCACCAAATACTCAAGAGAAATGAAAGGAGGAAAGGTTGGCTTTGGCTCATAATTTCAAAGGTTTTAGTCAGTTGACTTAATGCTGGGGTTTGTGGCAGCACCATGCAGCACTGTATTAACATGTAGAGAAAAGTAGCCTGCTCACTTCATGACAACAGGAAAGCAAAAGAGAGAGGAAGGAGCCAGGATAAGATTCCAATGCCTCTAATGACCTGAAATCCCCCCACTGGCCCTCCTCCTAAAGATTCCACTACCATTAACACGACCTTCAGAGAGCATTTAAGATCCAAACTATTCCAGGAATGATCTAGATAGCATAGAAATTTGAACCCAAGTCTTTGACTTACCTTAGCATGTGTTTATTGAGCATCTGCTATGTTCCAGGGCACATGCTTTGCTGAGGGACACAGGGGTCAATAAATAGAAGACAGGCTCATCCCCAGTAACAGAAGAAATGCAGAGATCAGCATAACCTAGTCTTACAGCTCTGTGTCAAAGCACATTGCTGAACTCTAGTTATATTTTGCTTATGTGTATCTAACCTATTGAGGTAACTCTCAATAACAATAATAGCCACTAAAGTTGGTTCCCAACAAGTAAGGTCTTTGAAGGCAGATCCACTATAGAGCCTTACCCAACCCCAGCACAAACCGAACTCAACAACTGCTGATTGCTCTTAAACTTGCATTGTCTGTGGACAACGTGGCTTTGTTAAGGGATAAAGCATTACATCAGAGTTTTATATCAGGCATATGTGTATTTTTTAAAAATGATCATAGACACTTGAAGTCCTGAGCTCCATCCTTGAGACTCCCTAGCACCCTGCCATCTTAGCTCTCAGACTTCCTCGGGTCATGAGAATCCTATCCCATCCTGGGTCTGCAAGCCCCCCTCACCCCTCACCCCAAGTCTTGGCAGGGTGAGTCACATTCCACCATCTCAGCTTTCAGGCCAGTCTGGGGCTCTGGGATCATTCCCTATCCCAGACTTGTGGTCCCAAGCACCCGTTCCTGAAACCGTTGTTTTCCCAACCATCTGAACTCTGTATGCTCCAGACATGTGAGATCCCATCCTAACCTATCAGCCAACCTGTTCCCTTATCATCCTCTACCCACCCTTGCTGATCCAGGACCCTGCGGAGTTAATCCTGGAATCTCAACTCAAAAGATGTACCTATCTCTAGCTGAAATGAGACCACTTCTTTCACCCTATTTAGACATCAACTTGAAGTGGCCCCAAAACTGAACAGCAAGCACTACTCAGGTGGACCATAACCTAAGAAGTTGTAAAACAACAAACAAAGATACAAATAAATATTTAACAAGGACAAGACCACTTACTTATACATACCAAGAAACACCAGTACACAAGTTCAGATGCCTAGATCTCATTGAAAAACACACAACGTGAATAACTAAAATAATATGTCTACTACAGAACTTAACAACCCCACTGTAATGTCTCCTGAAAATGACAACCTAGTGGATGTACAAGATAATGATTTCAAAATAACAGTTATATTCAAGGAACTCAAAGAGGTTATAAAAAAACAGAATGGAGACAGTGAAATACAAATAGATGGAATAAAACAATTCAAAACATGAAATCGGAATTCAATAAGGAGATAGAATCTCTAAAAAAGAGCCAATCTGAAATAAAACTTGAAATAAAAAACTCAGAAATTCAAAAATCTTAAAGAAGCAAAAGCAAGTGGAGAAAATAAAACAGAGAATATCAGATCTTGAAGACAACCTTAGGAAATATATTGCTCAATTGAAGAAAATGTCAAATCTAAAATAGCCCAGGGATGGAATATACAAAACCTCTGGAGCACTGTAAAAACCAACCTATGAATCATAGGCATAGGTTAAAGGCACAGAGACCATTTTTAACAAAATCATAGAAGAAAACTTCCCAAATCTAGGGAAGGAGATACCTATCAAAGTACAGGAGGCATACAGAACATCAAGGAGAAAAGAAACTCCTCAGAAAAGAAACTCCTCACATCATATAATAGTCAGAACACTAAATCTATAGAACAAAGAAATAATATTGGAAGCTGTGAGAAAGGTCAAATCACATATAAAGGCAGCTGACTCTTCAGTGGAGACTATGAAGTCCAGAAGAGCACGGACCCATGTCATAAAGTCATGAAAAAACACAAATTCCAGCCCAGACTACAGAGAAATTTTTCCATGATAAAAACAGACTTAAGGAATTTATGTCCACAAAACCAGTTCTTAAGAGAATACTTGATGGGATACTTTGGT